TGTGGACTATTAAGAGCTGCAGGTGGAGAACAAGGAGGACTGCAAACCACTCCCAAATCCAGCCAGCTGTGATCTCGGGAGGCAGAGCTGCCTGTAACACAGGAGCCGAGCCAACCCCAAAAACTGCTATGCGTGGGGGAGACCAGTTTGCCCTCAGGACCTGGAAACAGCTCACCTATTCCCTGCCTCACATCTCTAGTCCTGCTCGATTATCCTTGACACCTCTGTTGCCACTCACTTTGGTGCCAACCCCAGGTTTAGCTGTTCTGCTTAATAGGAGGTGAGGGCTCTGAGTTTTCTATCAAACCCTCTGTCACCGCGGGCTGCTGGAGCTGTCAGAAGCACAGCATATCACAGCCCTGCAGAACTTCACAGACAGCTGATCTGAAATTCCCCCTCTGGCTCCCGGGAATAGGCTAAAGATGCTCGAGCTACGGGAAGTCCTCTCTCGGCGATCTGCATGCTGTGATGTGCGCTGGCCCCAAACTGACCCCAGTCAAGGAAAGAGCTGGGTGTTTGGGTGGGTGTCTGCTAAGTGTCTGCACTAATCTTCACAAGTTTCACCAAAAATCTGTGGTCTCAGTCCTGCTCCATGTCTGCTCAAAGTCATCGGCATTGTGAGGCTCAGTAAAGGGAGACAGAATGAAGAGTCTGCAGTTCATTTTAGGCAGAAGGTCACTTTTAGTTTACAGATTCATTTATTAAGCTAGAAGAGCGTACATCTTCTCCTTCATCTGCCATCCTCTAAATTTATACTTACTATGGTTGGTTTAGCATCTTCTACTGCAAAGGAAGAATCAAGAGCATTTTTCACAATCCAGGAGCTCTGACATGTGAACAGCTTCAGCTACCTGCAGAAACCTGAGCTGGGAAATGTGTGCAAACAGTCTTCATGGGTTAGAATTTGGGATGTCGAGTGCAGAGCAAATCCCTGCTTAAGAGCCAGAGGAAGAAGAAAACCAGGATGCTACACAGGAATAGTGGCAGAGGACAATGCTCAGTGGAAGAGACAAGGAACACGGACACAGCAGTTGCAGACTGAAGCTGGGATCCCCCCCATCTACAGAGGAGAAGCTCTTCACTTGTTGGCTGAATCAACAACTCACAGTGTTTGCTCTCCCCATGCTCCCCCTGCCCCACGTTGCACGGCACCCACATCCCAAGCTGCGAGGGGAGCACAGCGCGTGTCGGCAGGGCTCAGGCTGAGAGCCAGCCCAGCATCCTGCACGTCATTCACACATGCAGCGACTGAAAACCCACTTGTGGTAACAGCACGTCTGTTTCTGCGAGGTGGTGGCCAACTGCGAGTGCTGCTCACTTCATCACCACCTTCCCAATGAGCCCCAAAGCTGGCCCAATCCTCTAGCTGTGTTCTTCTACAGCCTTTGGGGCAGAAGCCAGCCAGGTCCCAGCACCCGGAGCCTGGCTCTCCCTTAACACCCACAAGTAAGTCACCGCAATAGGAACACCAAAAGAACACAAAATGCAAAGGTGTTTCACAGCTGCCTCCAAGCTCTGTCCCTGTTATCGTATTTCATAGAAATGCTTGACTGAAAAATACATTTCCTGGGACACTGCTGCAGTAAGCTGCTACAACTGTCAACGTAAATGATGTTCTGCCAACGGCAATCTCGTGGTGTCATCTCTAATAACACAGTACTAAATCCCAGCTCAGGGAGGACGAGCTCATCTGTCGGAAGGCTCCTCGGGGGCTGCTCACTGCAGCCCCTAGCCCTGCTCCATCTACACATGCAGATCTGTACTCCCCATTCCCGTGTTTATTCCAGTGCAGGCACAGGATCACGTGGGCATGGCTGTGAGACCACTGTGGCAACACTGCTGCACTGACGTCTTGTCCGTGTCCCAGCAAGGCTGCTTGGGCATTCTGATTCCAGCCAGCCAGGTCTGGGACAAAGATTCTTACCCAAGTATCAGCATGAAGTGTGATCTGACAGTGCAGCTGTGGTTACTCTACATGCACAAATCAAGAATAGGGTGCACAAGGACACAAGAAAAAAAACATATCCCACCAGGTAACACATCAGCATCCTCCTGTGCTTGTGCACAGGATCTGCAACTCACCTGAGCAGGCAGATCTCCAGCACCACGTGCCCACATTGACACATTATTTTAAGAGAGCAGCTTCAAGCCTATTGCTGTTATTTTTGCCTCTGGAAGTGCAGATAAAGAGTTAAGGAGCAGATTCTTGTCTGTGGCACACGGTCAGAAAGCGGAGACGCCAAGAGCCCTGTCTTGCAGGACCATGCTTTGTTCATTCTGCTGCGGTGACCGATCTCTCACTGCAGATATAAACACTGAAATCTCCAGGATGGAGTTGTGGGGTCAAGATCTCAAAACAGATAGCTTTGTTTTAAGCTCCTGTACTTTTCTCAGCTCAGAGCTCTGTTATGATCTGAAGCTGCTAGGATGTTTACCTTTCTGCAGGCACGTAGGCCATACCACAACAGATGTGGGGCAAAGAAACAGCACAAAGAGCCAGCACTGTGCATAGCATGGAGGGGAGAAGTGGAGCAACAGGCAAAGCGACCTGCTGAGATCACACATGATGATGCCCAAACTTTTCTGTTATCCTTCCTCAAGATAGAAGCACTTGAAGGGTGAAGGAATGGCACTGCCAGATGGGCTCGGTGCTTCATCTGCTGGGAGCAGCAGAGATTCAGGGGGAAAATCCGAGTTATCCCTCTGCTCCTATTCCTACAGCAGGCTCTGTTTCTGGGCTGAATGACAGAGGCCTGCTCTCCGGCTGCTCACAACACCAATTCTCCAGGGAACGTCTGGAAATTTGTACCATGAAGTCTGCACAGCCCAAACATCTGCAGAGCTCGCAGCCTGCCGCACTCTGCTGTGCCTCTGCACAGCCACTGACACACAGTGCAGCCTTCAGCATGTGATGGGGAAGGCACACGACCGAGAGAAATCACATTTTGGGAAGTGTTTTAGTGGGGTTTTAGCATGGTAGAAAGGGGTTGTGCTAACTGCTGTCTCTCCTGTGAAAAGGCCTTTAGTAAAGGAGATGGAACAACTCCCATCCATCACCCAACAACGGGGATGGGGAGGGACAGAAAGAACTGGGCAGAAGACCTACAGGGAAACAGATTCCTTTGCTACATACAGACAGCTCAGCCCCGCAACGCCTGGCAGAAGTAGAGGCATGAGCAGGAGCTCCCAGGCCTGAGACCTGCCTACCCAGTGCCAGTGGAAGTGTTTGCATTACAACCAGCACAGCCCTGAAGTCCACCTGGAGCACTCACACTCAGTCATCACCACATGGCACTGTCTCATTGCTCCTGCCAGCAGACATGGAATAGTTTGGCCTCTGAAATGCCTGAACAAGCAACTCAAGCAATACTAAATGGCTGTACCTTGAGCTTTACTTATTTTCTTTTCATTCTCTCACATCTCTTCTCCAGTCTCCTCCAGCCAAAGGATTTCTGCCTTACAGTTCACTCCAACTACTACCAGCTACTTCTGAACAGGGAGTAAAAAACTCCTCAAGGCACTCAGGCAACCAGAAACACGCCTCTGATGGAGACATGCTGAAACTCAAAAGGATCGATGCCATGCCAGTCACTGCTGGAGGAGCTTGTGGCCTGCACAGGTCACTACAGTTTCCCATCTGTCTCAGAGATACTTTTCCCCAATTATAAAAATCCCCAGAGATTTAACAGGCATGTTTTTCATCACTATCAGCTCAATCTGGTGAAAAACTCAACCTCGCATATTTGTTTTTGCAGCCAGCGGGTGGTGCAGTGCTGCAGAAGCGAGATTTGGGCGAGAACTCCAGGCAGAAATCTGCTCAGCCGGCTGCTGCTCCAGAAGGAACGCTTCCCATTTAACCTTTTCCCTTGCCTCCATTTGCAAAGCAGATTAAACATTGCAGAATACAAGATGCAATTATGCTGAACAAGTTACGATGCCAAGGACAGCATATTCACCTTTGTAGCTTGATCAATATTACTTATTGATATCAAACCAGACCCAATGGCAGAGCGGTCTCTGGAATGTGGAACTGCCCATAGCAAGCGTTCTCCTTGCCTCTGAGCTTCATTAAGCTGGCAAGGGCTGACAATTAGATACAGAGCATTCAGCTGCTCATGAATTCTCTGCAGATTCCATACAGATTACCTCCATGACACAATCCATTGATCAGAGGTGTATTCTCAGGCTCCACAGTTAATTACACTCCCTGCTGATGGATGAACAGCAAAGCCATCTCTGTGAAAATACACTGGTAGCAGAATGCCAAGCAAAAAATCCCTAAACAAAGACAAAAGGAGCTGGGAAGCATTTCAGAGTTTTCAAGGTGAAATCTGCCATGTAAACAAACAGGATTCAGCGCGAGCAGACCGACATGGCCGAGGGACACCATCCAGAGAGCAGGACAGCTCAGCCAGACCTGGTGATCTCACCCACTAGCAGGATGAGGCTTACACAACACCGGGAAGTATGCGGGGTCTGGAGACCCACAGCACTAAGGCTCTCAGCTCCCTTCCCTTGCCCAGACTTGCCCACCATGCTCCTGGTTTACAGAGAAAAATGCACACAGAGGCTGAGGCCCAGACAGGGGGGCAAAGGACAGCTCACATGCAAAGCCCTGCTCAGTCTGCACCACCTGCAGAAATCCCAGATGAGGGTGTGCCCAAATGGCACAGAGATCTCTGGAGCTTCCCCACAGCTCGGCAGTGAGCCAGCCACATGGACACAGTGCTTGTCGGCTGTCAACGTGCTGCTCCTCTGGAGCAGCTCATTATGCAATCTGGGGTAGACACAACACTGCTAACTATTCCATCCTCTGACTGTTTCTTTTGCTAGATGGTGCATCTCCCTCTACACGTCATCCTTCGCTCATCTTCTACCTTGCCATCATGCACAATTTCCCAGCACGCACACAGAATCATCACAGAATGACTTGGGTTGGAAGGGACCTTAAAGATCACACAGCCAGACCAAGCTGTCCCTGCCAGCACCTTACACCTTACCTTTCAGGACACTGAGGACTGCAGCGTTGCTGTAGCGCTTGCGAGCAGCATTGCTGGCCACGCAGTGGTACACCCCTGCATCACTCTCCTGCACGTCAACAATCTGGAGCACACCATTTGGAAGAGTTATAAACCTGAGTGAACAAAGGAAGAACATTAGACAGGATATGCCTTGCCTGAGCTATTCATCAGCTCAAAGCCCTTTTATCTCTGCCTTTTTTCCTTCAGAGGTATCACTTGCAGGTCCTGGTAACCACAGCAGAGTGGAACTGATGCATCCCAGTGGCTGAAAGAATGAGTGGTTCTTAAAGAGCAGCAGCTACCGACCCACCCATGGTTCTGGGGCCTTCACAAGATAGATCAGCTTCTGGGAGACTAGGGCTTTCCTGATGTAAATCAAATGCAGAGCAGAAAATAATGTACACACACATTCCTGCCTACAGACATGTAGATATCTAAGTGTACCAGTGCCTTTGCACAGAGTCTGCCACTAACCTTTCACAAAAGGTTGGAGGAAAAGCCAGAGGAAAAAAAAAACCACTGCATAGAATCTTTTTCCTGCCGCACCTCAGGTACACAAATGGACCAACTCACACACAGATGCACCTTCATGGCCCAAAGCAGCCAGGACAATGCTCCTGCAGTGAGCAGCTGCCTGAAACCATGCCATTCCCGGGTTGTGTTGATTACTTTTGTTCTCACAAGAGCTCCTGGCTTTCATGAGCTGGCAAACCTACACCCAGGCATTCAGCATCCCTTATTTGCCCATGGGGTTCTACTGGGGAACACCTCCAAGGAGTGCAGTGGCTACACGGCTCGCAACATGAACACAATCCTTGCTGCATTATACTGAACAAAGCAGATGATTAGCAATTAGCATAAAAGTAGGAGCTGGTTGTCAGCATCTCCGTTTTCTGCCTGGATTCCTAGATGGCAGCCTCTTTATTCTTGAATGCAAGGCGCAAAGCCTACGTGATCCTTTTTTAATTATATATGAGATCCATTTTTAATTGCAAACCTCTATAAACAGAGCTGCCGAGCTTTGACAGGCAGCTCTAGGTTATCAGTCTTCATTATGAAGAGGACACATTCAAAGGCAATTGCTAAGGGGAGAGACAGCAGCTATTCCACAGCAGTAGCACAAAGACAAGTTATAGTCATGAATGCCAGCCCTTTCATCCACAAAGATTCCTGAAAGTAGCCCTGATAGGCCAGATACATGGAATCAAAAGGACCTTAGGAGGTGATCCACCCCACGTTCAAGACGTGGTCACCAAGAGCAGCTCACCCAATCCTGCAAAGCCTTAAACCTTCAGCAATGGAAATGCCATCCCTGCCCAAAGCAGTCTGTTCCAGAGATTAACATCCCCACTGCAAACCTAGAGCCCAGCCTGGACCTCAGCTGCCACAGTCTGAGCTCTTCACTTCTTTGTCTTCTGCACAACAGACATAGAAGACCTAACAGAGCTTCTCCCATCACTACATGCACCATCCTACAGCCTGATTTAAGAATACAGACTTGCTGAAGCTTCCCATATTAGCAAGGGCAACTGCCCCAGACCCCAAAAGCCTCAAGCCATGCTTGCACTGTTTCCAAGATACTTTTCTCAGGATCAAGTTCCACAGTCCCTAGGAGGAGTCGTGGTACCCTGAAAACCCTTATAAGGATGCCTCATTAGGACACAAAAGGAAGAAGACAAATATTTGCATCCTCTCAGCACTGGAGGGAAAGCTTCCCACTGCGATAGTATTTATTTTTGTCGTGCATCTGCTCTTTGAGTCTGTAATTAATATCAACATATTTCAAGCACTACGCAAAGCAACTCACAGCCACATGAAGGAGACTCCAATTCTGTATCACAGAATCGTGGAGGCTGGGAGGACCTCTGGAAAACCATCTATAGCCTTCTCATCTACAGCCTTCTCCCTCTGGGGTAAGGCTCTGGTAGGCCAGGCTGCTCAGGGCCAAGGTCAGGAAGGTTCTGAACATCTCGGAGGATGCCCATGCTTGGCCACCTTCACAGAGAATTTTTATCTCACATTTAAATAGAATTTCCCAAATTACAGTTTGTGCCCTCTTGCCTCTTCCACTGGCTCCTCACTCTTTCCTCCTCATGTAAGTTATTCACACACATGGATGAGATCCCTGCCAGCCACTCATTCCCCAGCCTGTCCTGGTGCACAGGAGGGGACGCTTCCCTGTATTGAAGCCTCTTAGGTTCCCGAGAACCCATTTCTCCAGCCTGCCCCAGTCAGGCAGCTGCTTCTGTCTGCTTTCTAACACCTGGAACTTGCTGAGAGTGAGCTCTGCCCCACCATCCAGGTAATTAATGAAAATGTGAAACATGAAGTGTCCAGAAGTGCCTTCAAGATGTTCTACAAGTTTACAAAGCTTCTTCAAGCTCTTTGTGATCCTACAGCTGTAGAGCAAAGAATATTCTAGCATTAACAGCCCACTTCCCTTTCTTACCTCTCCCTACTACACTGCTGCCAGATACTGACTGCAGATCATGTGATCTGAGGTACATGCTTATGTGCAGACTAAAGATCTCCATTTAGCAAGTGTTCATTTTGGCTGTACAGAAAACAATCAGCAATTTGGAGCCCGGTGTGAAACTCAGCCAGACAGAAACAGAGAAGAGATGATGCCAAAAGCTGTAGCTGCATCCCAAAGCAACTACAGTCCAGTGAAATCCTGCAAGCTGCCCCTCAGCAGCTGATGCAGATTTAAGACTTTTCTTTTTTAAAAAGTACTTCAGAGCCAGAATTGCAAAATAATTCTGTCTTATTTCTATGCAGAAATTGGATTCTGTCCTGAACTTCAGCAGGGTGGGAAAGGTGTTTTGAAAACGTCCCTAAACAGCCCAAGAAGTGAAGAAGTGCTTAATGATTTTTTAAGCTAAGACTTCAACACATTCAGGGTGACACCACAGTGGAGCCTGTGTGCAAGAGTGCCATGAGAAGAAGAAAAAAAAAAAAAAGAGGTAAAAAAAAAAAAAAGCTATGATCAGTTTTATCAGTTTCCTGTGATTGTTCTATCTGTCATAAAAGAAACCATAAGCACCAGTGTAAGAGTATTATCTGCAAGGCTGCATCTCCAGGCCCAAAGCCGATGTGTGCGTACATCGGACGGCGCTGTGTCAGAATACAAAGCCATCCCCCGATGCTGCCTACCCAAAGGACTGCACTTTCACAGGCTCATCAGATGTGTGCACAGGAGGGAGTCCCAGAAGCAGAGGCTGTCCCCAGGCCTGGTCGTTTGGCACCGTGGGGTGAGGATAACAGAGGTCTGGTTGGCAGCCAGCGTTTCCTGGAATTCGCTTAATTCCTTCAAAAGCCGGTTATATTAAATCCAGCAACAACGAGACAACAAGAAAGCAAATCCTTCTGAAGAAGCATATTAGCTAAAACACGATTTAAAAAGCAAGATCTGCAGCTAGAGATTACGCTCTGGTTTTTACAAGGAAAACAATTTTCAGGCTGCCTGTGTTGAAAGCAATCTCCGAGCAAGTAATTTCAGAACATCCATCCAGCTGTCTCATTAAAAAGCCATTGCCCTATCTACGGCACACTTCCCTCTGCCATCCCTTCTTTTGTTTTGTTTTGCTTTTTTTCCTTTGCTTTTTTATTAATTAATTTTTGTCTCATTACAAAGCAATAGCTTTGTATGAACCCTAGAACCCTTAGATGCCACTCTTCAGACTCAAGTAACAGAAATCATTTTTTGTTGAAAAATTATTTCTAGATCTTACATCCCCCTTTCTTTTCCATCTTCTCCCCCACTCCTGGCTTAATCTTCTTGGGAGAAACAGCTCCTTCTTCAGAACAGAAATGAGTTTTTGGAAACTAAAAGACAGCATGATCACTGATCCCATGCAGGGATGATGTCTACAGATCAGCTCTTATCCAGCTTATGATTTATTCCCTTCCCTTGCCTGTAAGTGTCTTTCATTACTAAAAGCAACTTTCATGCTGCAGGACTCTAACCCTAAAAACAAAATGTGGGGTGTTGAACTAGATAACCCCATATTGTAGGAGTAAAATAAGTGGAAAGATCACCCAGGTTACTGAGCACACACAGAGCTCCAGAGAAATCATTTACACCAAGACGAATCTGGGTGAGAGAACAGTGAAGAAAATGACTGGCTCTAAAGTCACTACTGAAACGAAAGAGAAATGACATCTGGGTTCTGTCAGGTACACGCAGCCCCAGCACCATCCTCCACAGCCAGCCGAGGAAACGCTCCTCAAGCCACGACCCAATGCCCCAGAAGGTTTCCATCTACTGAGCTTTGCACAGGACTGCCCCAGGCAGCCCCTACTGCCTTGCTCTGCTCCACGCACACGTGGGCTTTTACAGGGTGCAGGATCTGTGCTGTAAGAACCTGGACAATCTCTAGTTTCTCCATTTGCATTTAGGTGCTCTGCTTGTCAGCATGCTTGTTTATTTCCCTTGAACAGATGAGGGAGTAAGTGGCTGATAAAAACCATGCTGAAATTGTGCATCCTTGCGTGCAGACCTTCCAGACCACCAGAGAATTGAGGCACAGGTCTCATTTAATTACTTTGCTCATTAGCCAATTTCTACCCAATTTCATTTCTACAAACTATTACAGACTACAAGACTATTACAGAGCACTTGGTCAGTTGTGGCAAAGGCTCAGGAAGAAGAGGTAACAAAAAAGGGAATGATTTTGTTCTTATTGCTATTTTGGGCTGTTTGGTTTTGGCTTTTTTTTTTTTTCTTCAGTTCGTTGGATGATGTTTGGGGAAAGCCTTCCTTTGTCTTTGTGTTTTATCAGCTCATTTGCACGGGTCCCTCCAACAAGTGCTGCTCTTTCAGCACTTCGTTTTCAGGTGGAAAACTGATTCAGACCATTTCTCTCCTCATGCTAGCTTTTTATGAAAGACTTTCACATTTTAAGTGATCAGGTTTGGGATTTTTTTTTTTTTCTTTTCCTTTAAATAAATGGATAAACAATCAGGACATCACCTGGGTTCTTCTGGAACAGCTACGTGATCCTTCTCCCACGTGATGACAGGGGAAGGTAAGCCTTCGATGCGGCACTCAAACCGAGCCATGCCATTTTCTTCCACTGTCTGCGACTCCGGCTGTTGGAAGAAGCGTGCCAAGCCTGGGAAAAGAAGAAGGCAAGGCAAGTTAGGAACTTGAGTTTCTGCTGAGAAACGCAGACCTGGTATGGAGGACAAGTTGGCTGTAAATGAGCCTGAAGTGCAATTCCTCCCTTTGCTATCCCCTACAAGCCCCCAGCAGTCCAAGAATGGCAACTGAAATGTTTCAACCTGCAAATTTGCTTCTCACCTCATTTTATCCTTGAAGGCAACAGTGTGAGAGAAGACAGACAACTAGCTGGTTTTGCCAGTTGCTCTTCTAAATCGCTTCCTTTGTTCATTTGCTCCACTGGGGAACCGCACACAGAATGAGAAACAGAAGAGGGGAAGCATGGGTTCCCCTTTACCTTATGGCACACTCATAGCCCAAATCAAGAACAGGTAAGAGGAAGAACAGAGCCAGATGTCATCCTTCGTGACCAAAACTCTGCCCGCAGGCTGGCAATGCTGGAGCAGCACATACTTCATGGTGGTGTTAGCCTGAGGAAGCACGTGCGTTTTGAAAATAAAATGCTTTTACATGCCCTATTTTAACCTCAGCATATTCTCAACTGTCATTAGAATCCTGTTTCACTTAAATAGTTATCGCATGTTTAAAGCGACTCGTTGCTCTCTGCAGCAGTTGCAGACTGGATTCTCGCACCAGCTGAATGCCAGGTAGAGTTCTTCAGTTCAATGAATGATAATGAAAAACCCCTTTCTGGAAAAGTTTGAAAAATAAATTAATATAAGGCCCCAATTCAGGCAACAGTTTTAGTATTTTCAAATATACTCCGCAGAGCACCTGAGTGCAGAGTAATTTCCAAGAACTGCATGATCTTTTAAGCTCACGTTAATATATTTTGCTGAACCCAAGAGTTTAAAAGGAAATCCATCAAACACAAGTGCACTTTCAGGTTGGCACCATCAAAACAACCTCCTTCTTGTATCCATAATGCTCTTTCCTGTTGTACTCTTTTCATCCTATGAGTGCAAATGAAAGCACTTTGTCAGTCTCCAAAGGCTCAACATGCCTGGAAATGGCACGAAGGTATGCAGGAACCCCTCTAAAAAGATGAAATCTGTCAGCATCTCTGTTCTCTCTGCTTCAAGTCAGGTCACCTGTTTTTCTTCCATTCATTTTTAAGTGGCATAATCTAAGCTGATACAATGGAGCCCCAGATTTTCCAGCAGCTTTAGATGAGCCTCCAGAGACGAGAAAACTTACATGCAAACCATGGGCTACAAACAGCAATGCCACTGCTAACAGCAGCAAAAAGGCTCCATAAATTGCAGTAGGCAGCTCCTCACTCTTTGCTCTCCCATGTGGCAGCAGGCAGGTGTATTTTATACATTTTCCTAAGAGATGCAGGGTGTTCAGCAAGCCAGGCTCACCCCTGCACATTTTGCCATGAAGGCCAAAGGGGTACGAAAGGGAGCAGTGCTTTTTGAGTCCCTGGGCTCACCAGAGCAGCAACCTGTCCCAAAACAAACAACAACTGGCTGCCCCTTCCCCATCCCCTGCCAGACCTGTGTCTGCAAGCTTGAAATGCACTGTTGAGAACCAAACCCTGCCCTACACCTCAAACCAGCCCCATGCCTGCTGTGCTGGGCTCCAGCATGGCTCTTCAAAAGCAAAGAGCCAAGAAATGCACCCATGACAGATTTCTCATTACGGTGTGGAGGAGTGTGACTAAACAGTGACCCTGATTAGGGAGTGCAGCATCCTGAGAGCTAGCAAGGGCTGAGAGCTCAGTGGCTGTAGCACGTGGAGTAAACCTTCACTTGCCTGCTGGTGTCTCCTCCAGATAGCTCTCAGGGTGGGACTGGGAAGCTGGGCAGCTCTGCCATCCAAGTATGGGATCCTGTTCCCTGTTACAGGGACATCCTGTTAGGACATCAGGATAGGGATTGCTGAGGACATCCTGGGAAAGAAAACTATCTCAGGAAGCTTTGAGAGGAGCAGCCTGCAAAGTCATGCACTGCCTGGAGGACAGAACAGCAAGGACCTTTGTGCACAGAAAGCAACACCAAACCAAGGTAAGAAAAGTGGAAAGGTTTGTTTGATGCAGGGCTGAGCAAGAACACCAGATCTCAGCACTGGTGAGATTCAGGTAAAGACAGCCTTCCTGGCCAACTTCACTGCTGTTCCACAAGCATCTCCTGCACCAGCACAGAGCCATGACCATGGCATGCTGGCATCCTTTGTGATCCTCTTCTGTCATCCAAGTGATGTCTGGGTGGAGAGGAGGAGGCAGCACATGCCTGGCACCCACAGAGTGGCACAGCCTGGGCTCAGAGCTGTTCTGCAAGCTCATCCTAGGAGTATTCAAGCAGGGTCTATTCTCTTTCCTTAAATGTTCTTGCGGAAAAAAACTTGCTGCAGAAGATGATCTTGCAGGTAATTTCCAACCTTGTGATTCTATGATTCTATGATTCTGCGATTCTGCAGAGTAACAGGTTTCAAGGAGGCATGGAAGAAAAACGCCAGGAGTGAAAAGGGAAACAAAGCAGACAGATACAACTCAATGGTCTTTTCAACTCCTCAGCTAGGGTTTAGCTCACTAAGCCTGCTAAAAGCCATGCCATGCCACAAAACAACTCCCAGCCATGTTGTGCTGGTTTCCCTGAGCACCTTAAGGCCACTCAGTAAAAAATGACGGACTGCAGGTGAAGAGGTGGAGGAGCACTACAGAAGCGTGCCAAAGCACCACACTGCGCCTTTGGGAGCGCATCACACCGCTCCCTTCCCACTTACATGCTGAGCCCAGCTGGAGCCAAGCTGTGTGCCAAGGCTCCCAGCCCGGGGGTGCCGGCGGCACAGGGAATGCTGCGGGCTCCCCCCCTCCCAGCAGCACAGGAGGCCCTGAGCTTGGAAAGGCTGCCAGGCAGCAACACTACACCCAAGGCAGAAAATGCAGCCTATGCGAGGAATTCCGCCTTCTGAAAGAGGCTCACAGCTCTCTCGCACAGTGCTTTGCCCCCCCCCCCCAAGTCTCCACGTGCACATCCCCTGCCTGCCTTTTGTAATTATCCCAAGGTGCTTCTAAGATGGGGGGGGTGACTAAAGCCCCCAGTGAGATCATATATACTGCCCAGACAAACTGCTCTGAACTGCTAAATGGGACGGGGAGGCAGCAGGGAGACTGCAGGATTTGCTGTGATTGGTGTGATTTGCCACGGTTCCACAGCGCAGAGGAGGCAGAGCCAGAGCTCAGTCTGCAGGCCAGTTGGCAATGTAGGACCTGTGCTGCCCAGCTTACCCTCACAGGGCTCACTCCTACCTCTGCAGAGCCACTGGTTCCGTATCTACACCCAAGAACATCCAAGAGGCACAGCTACAGGTGATCCAGAGCCTGTGCACTGATGTGCTGGAAGTTCTCCGGCCCAATTGGAGGGAAGCAGAGAGACCTGGTGATGCACCTGGTGCCCAGAATAAATAGTATCAAATCCATAAAGTAAATCCCTAAAAATACAACTAAATCCCTGTCTTTCAGAGACAGTGCAGCACAGAGAGCTCTCTCTCAGGAGAGGAGCCCATGCACACACGTACACCTCTCCCTGCTGCAGCCTGTACTGCCAGCTGCAACACCAAACCTCTGCAGCTCTGCCAGCAGCCACACGGCGCAGGCCTGTTCCCTCCAGGCACAGCAAACGTTTTCATCTGACAGCTACAATTACTGTAATTTTCTAGAACCTCCCTCGCACAAAATGTTTAGGCTAAATTAACAGCTTTAACAAATCTTCACCAATGTAGTTATTAACAAGTAGAAAGCTACACCTTCCCACGATGACAATAACGCCCCTGGTATTTCCATGTAGGAGCAGGCATGGCTTGGAGAAACCTGCAAATCTAATCCAGCAGCCCAAACAGGCTGTACCATGCTTGTACCATGAGCCATGGTGTGCAGGTGGTGAACAGTGACGCAGGTCTCAGCCAGCAGCACACTGGGATGAGCTCCAAGGTGCTGTTGTGTCACACATGTATTCAGCAAAACATGAGCCAACACAGAGGTGACAATGGAAGGGAAAGCATGGAGGGCACTGCAGTGTTAGGTTCCCCTGGAAGGCACTGCTGGGGCCAAGGCATCTGGGCACCTCCACGTGTGGCAGATCCCCCACCCATCACTGCTCTGTTGTTTGTCCCACCAAGGCTGTGCTCCCTGGGTCTCCTCTGCTGGCTGTGGCTGTCCCCAGTGATCCAAGCAGTGACCCAGCAAAGTCCCAGGCACTCAAGAGGACGGGCGGCACCCAGCACATGCATGAATGTCTTCTCAGAAACTCCTGAAGGAGGGCTGCCTATGTGGCCATCTTCATCGCTCTAGCATGGGCAGAGAGAGCCTTTCATGTCCATGCACATAACAGCAGGCTTATGCGTTTTGGCAGCTCCTGTCAGACAAGAGATGTGGACTTCTGTGCCTCCTTTAGTAATCACCTCCAGCAGCCTACAACTCAGTCCCTCATAGTGCTTCCTTGGACACTGCTGCCCTGTTAGCCAGCCAGCCTGCAAACTGCCCAGCCTCTGTCACTCCAGCCCTCACCAGGGTCCCATCTGTCTGCACCAATCAGCCACTCCTAGTCTCCCAACTCACCTGGCTGACAGCGAGCGCAGCAACGCTGGAGCTGCCCTCAGCTTCTGGGGCTACTAAGAAGGTATATCTAATTGTGTAGAAGCACTAAGAAAGCAAGAGAGAAGCAAAATAAGTGCCTGAATGCACTGGTGCTGATAGGAGGGCAGTCTGGCAGGGCTTGTCCCAATTGCTCTGCAACTGCCTTGGCACTGAGTTGAGCAGATGCTGAGACAACCCACAGCTCCAGTCCCACAGTTTCCTCATGGTACTTTGCCTATATGGGGCAAGGCAGTGGTGAATGAACAAAGAAACGAGTATGAAAAACCACAGGAGATGACTCGACGTTATGAATGCTAAATGTTCTTGTCATCACAGTGCTGTGTGGTGCACAGAGCCCTACAGCACAGCACAGGATCTCCCCTGTGCGGTGTATCAGGAGCGCAGGCTGAGGGTAGTGTTGATAGAACCTACCTGCTAAACAGGTTTTCATCTGTCTGGTATTGATCAGCAGCGCCCAGGGCAGTCAGCACAAAGAATAACTCCATCTACCCGTAGACAACTTCAGACAGACTGCTGTATTCAACCAGCAAGAAAAAAAAAGAGCCTGTACGATCCTCATTTGCACCAGCTGAATGCTAATGCAGCAAGAGCCTCTGCCCACCCCATGGAACAAAACACAGCCAGAGATGCATTTCATTAATAATTCTCTCTCTGCTCTCCATTCAGAAATGAGTGTTATGTCAGGTGCATTCATTTGCCATAGCAGCACCTTGCCTGTGCAGCTGGCTGTTAAGGAGGCCTACGGATCCACGTCAGGAAATGAGCTGGAAAGTTCACCCGTAATTCCTTGGTTCTGGGAGGAACCCACAGAACTCCTCTGCAAAAATCCACAGGGAGGGAAAGGCAATCCACGCCTGACTCCCATTTTTGAGACATTTTCACTGTTCTCACTCATGAAACACAAAACAATACACCCAAATCCGTAACAGGCGCACAAAGAGATGCACTGGAAAGGGAATTGGTGCCAGTTCAGGGTGACTGAGACTGGGGGAGGAGGAGCTGAATAGACCACCAGGACTCCTGATGCCTCTTCCACTGCAAGTCTCCCAGACAATATCTGTATGCAGAATCCTTAACTCCAGTTTGCAAGAACCCTCGTGAGATCCTCAGTGGTCTCTGTGTAGCACGGGTGATACAGCATCATCTGCACGTTCACTTACCATAGCTCTGTGCAAGTTCACAAGCATCTCAGCCCTAATTTCCCAAGACTGGGAACGTGTTTCAGGCTTGCATCTCACGGCGTGCTGTCTGGCTGCATTTGTCAACATTTACATAGGTCTGCACTAGAGAGAAGTGCTATTGTGTTTGTATTATTTTCTAACCTCTCTTGTTTGGTAGGTCAAGGAATCATTTATTGGCACTCTCATACTTAAAATAGCTGTGGTAGCCATTTCTGAATACAAAAGAATTTTATTCTTGAACAAAGATTCAGTGGCTCAGATCTTAGAGTCTTGTTCTGAGACTGAAATGAAAAACAGCCTGAAGAGCTCTCTTTCATCTCTTCCATTATAGAGGGACATTTGCCTCACAATCGATCCCGACACGGAGTGGAGCAACACTGTTTGACACACAGACAGATGTCTGTCCCAGCCTCAGTGAGCACCGCCCTTCAGTGTCTGGTGCTGCCCCAGAGCTCTGAGCTCCGCACCATGCTGAGATGGGGTAAATTCTGCCTGTGGGAACACCCCACAAAGGGATGATGGCAAAGGCTGCCTGGGAACACAAGTCCAAAGCCCAGTCTCTGTGGGAAGAAAGGTTTCCATTATGGGCATTTCAGGCCATGCTGATACACAAAGATGCCCTTATCTGGGAAGCCACAAGCAGACTGCTCTCTCCTGGTGCATAATGCAGTTGGACAGCAGGGGGCTGGACACATACTTCCAAATTGGGATGTGCTCAGTGACATCCAAGCACCATAAAACTGCTTTGCCTTAATTGCCTTCTCGCCATACCTGAAATTAGCAGTGCTGCTTTAGGAGAGCATGCTTGGAAACTGACATTCAGGGCACCTGCCCCATCCAGGACCTCGTGCCTCCCTTGGCCCCACCAAGCACATAGGGAGCCTTGGCACCCCCCTGCTCACTGTGGCTACCAGCTTGGGCTCTCAGCAGATAAGTTGCATTAAGCTCCTGCTTTTTCGCCACTCGCTGTGCTGAGGTCAGAGCTAAGATTTCACAAACAAAGGACATCTGAAGAGGAGACATTCAACATCCTGTCTGTCAGAACCCCACAGCGTAGATGAAAGACCCATAAGGCCTCCCTTGGTTCATCAGATCTTAACTATGTTCACAGTCTATCATTTTCACAAGACCACACTCAGACACACTAAAGCCATCAGCGTCACCAGACATCGCAAACAGGGAAAGCAGCAGATGCCCCTACAAGGCTGTTCTGATTTAAGCTAGTGATGGAGAGCAGGGACAAAGGGGAACTGGGACCACCTGAGCACAGCCTGGCCTGTTTCCAGCACTTTCTGTCCTCAGGTGGCCACCCACACCCACCTGACCATCCCTCAGTGATAACTCTTTCAGTAGCATAACTACGCTGCTCACTCATGGCAAATTCCCAGATGGGACACAGAGCTCAGCACAGTCAAGCAGGGAACACAGAGAACAGCAAAGCATGTTGTCCCACCCCAAACAGCTGATTCTCCCAGCTGCTCCCATGCAAGTAATGCAGGTGCATTCTGCACACACCATCCAAGACTGATGGATGCATGGGGAATGCAAAGGACACTTTCTCCCAACTCTTCCCATCACAGTTCCCCTCACACCAGGAGTGCTCAGGTTCAGAGCAATGCTTCTTAACTATATCTACTACAGCCTTTGCCAGGGTTGCCAGAGCTCCACAGCCAACCCCCCCCCACCCCACATTCCTACAAAAATGGTGCTGACACATGGCTTTGAGGTACTGATTTCCCCAAAAAAGCAAACACCGATTTTTGGAGAGCAAGTATGATCTTGGTTTTAATTTAAGGCTCATGGCACTTACCTGGGAGTGTTGCACATGAGAATGCCATTGGGTCAAGAGAGACACCACAGCTTATCTGTGGGCTGTCCCAAATCCCACATACACATCATTAATAGAATTTCAATTCATAGTCATTAGAAAAGAAAAAACAAGACCCACTTACTTGAAAATCTGACTGCAGCCGTTTGACTGGTGACAGCCCCTAGGGAGCTGTGGGACACACAGGAGTAATTACCCTCAGCATCAGCTCTCTCAGAGTATTTACTGTCCTTTGCCATAGCCTGCGATGAGATGAAGAGCGATCCATTTGGAAGCACGTGCAGATGTTCCTGCTCCACTAGTGGAAACCCATTCCTCTTCCATGTGATATTGATCACCTGCTCAGCAGGGGCCAGGTTACAGTCCAAAACCACGACTTGGTTTGGCTCCAATATCACCTTTGCAGGACCAGCACTACAGCTCAGCTCCACAGAATCCCCTTCCAACAGCCTCCCTGCAAAGAGAAGACAGCATTTCTTCAGGGGTTGCCCTGCTCGGTTAATAACATCCCGGTTATACACAAATGTGGTTTGGGATAAGACATGACATTCAGCCCCATAGTACCGCCAGCACCTCCCATGACACCTGTGCACTAACTTCATCATACATCTCTTGGGCTGCAAGCACAGCCAGCACCACCTCTGCTGCTCCCCACCACGCCCAGCAGCAGCCTTGTATCCACACTTGCTTTTTCCATCCTGGATTCAAGCACAGAACAACTGCAAGTCAAAGACGATGCAGCATGGGCCCCAACCCCACCTTCACCTGCCACAACTGCCCATAAGTAGCAAATACTTCCTCCCCCCTGCCTCCTTGGAAGGATATTCCTACTGCAAACTGGCAGCCCGAGGGGCAGCCCCACATGCTCAGCCAGCTCAAACCCTCAGGCAGCTGTGTGCTGCAGCCGCAGGCAGAGCGCTGAGGGGCCGCGGGCTGAGCTGAGCTGGGTTGGGGCTGGCCCACTTCCAAACCCACGTACTCATAGGAGAGCTCCACCTCTGAAACAAGGCTCAGCATTTCCTAAAAGAATATTGCCATTAATAAAATGCATTTGCCGTTAGAGTCCTCCAGAGACACTAAGTCAATGTTAGCTGGCAGCGCTGCTTCCACACACCAGCAATTTCAATCTCTGCTGCACTCAAACCATCACCATCCACTCTTTTTATGGCTCTGCTCCAAATTATTTTGTCACTGCTCCAATCAGAAATGTTTCCTGCCTCTATAACAAGTTTATCAACACTGGATATGAACCACATGGCTCCCTGCCCGTCTCCTATCGCAGAAGGCTACAGATTAATTTTATAGGAATTCAAACACTCTATTAAACCTGCTACTACCTACTGCTGATAAAAGGGCTGCCTTTTAAAAGCGTGCGAGTTAAGCAAGCAATTAGGAGCAATGACACGCAAAATTACACGTGCAGGGAGATGGAAACTCCGGGTGTCCCGTAAGGAAGGGCCTTGCCCTGCCCACACTTGGGGCTCATTTGGTGCCCAACTAAGCACGCAGGGACAGGTACTCATTAGGAGGCTCCAGCCTTCTCCATGCTTTACCCCTTACCTCCTCTGAACCAGCACTGCCAGCAGCGTCACATCAACGCATCTTGAGCATCAGGTGGCCCATGTTTCTTGCCAGGCACTCCTGCTCATTGCTCTGCAAGACAGCCTGCATTTCTGTCCTATTTTCTGCCTTCCTCAGGCTGCAATTTTAATGGTTTTTTGCTGAAAATACTCCTCTCAGAGAGGCGCAGCATGCGGGGACAGCTGGCAGCTAGGAATAGAGCAGAGCTCTGCGGAGTGCTTCCTACGCCAGCACAGGTTGGCAAGAAGCAATTATCAGCCTCTCAGGCTTCTGCCTTCTGAAAACCAACCTGCTTGCAGTCCGAACTGACAGCACCACAGCAGAAGAAATACGTGGTGTTCTTTTTTTAATATGTGATGGCATTTCTTTACCCCTGAATATTGCCCAGATCTTCTCCCAAGACTCAAAACCCAACAGGATCCAAGCTGCCAGCTGAAAAAAGAAGCACTTACACAACTCAGAGCCTGGCTGCAGACTCAGCTCAGGTCCCTGTGCTGCATCAAGAGAGCATAAACAGTCACTGGAAGGAAATACATGTGAAGCTGAACACACAGTCCAGGAACATGCTCACCAAGGCACATGTTTCACCACGAGCAAGGGATCCTCCATGAGAAACCAGTGCTTTCTCTGCTTCTAAGATTTGGTGCACGTGCTGAGCTGCTTGTGTGAATGCAGTCTCACTGGATAACGACAGGAGGAGGTTGCCTCAACACTTCACCCCAGTGAGCACACACATGCACAAGATCTTTAAAAAGCAGCAGTCACTCCTTTCCTGGAAACCTGCTCGTACCACACAACCCACTCAGTAACAGCAGCAACTAACCTCCAGGGTATCAATGTTTCTACTTGTACACATCTACAGCACTGCCAAGCAGCGCAGCCTCCATGCAATGCTAAGAGATACACGAGTGCTCAAACCACTGCCCTTCATCCCAGGAGCGCCGTAAGTGCTTCCAGACCAAGAAGCCAAGTAAAAGCCCTGGTGTGCTCACAACCTGTGACATCGGGCTGCTCTGACAGGTGAGCATAGGCTGCCCTCAGCCACCCAGCCTCTTCAGCCCCCAGTACTGCCGGTTTTTAGGGACAAGCCCTTGGCACACACAGGTTGGGGCAGCAAGTGCCCAGGACTCAGATGTAGCATTGAAAAAGCTCCAACTACACTTCTGATGTTCAAAGAACTGTATAAGCACTCCCTGATTAAACAAAACATACCTTCCAGGCTCTGAAAATGTAGGAGGAGGTCTGGTTCAAAACACCGCCCTAAATTAGCAAGCCTGACAATGAGATAAAAACGCTTTCAAGGAAAAGGATCAGAAGAGAGTAAAAGTGAGATCAAAGACAAATGAAATCAGGAATGTTGAGTGCTTACAGAAGCTGCTGACTCTTTCCAACCTCCATTCTTCATCGTTCAGTGACAGAAATAGATACAACCCTGCTCAAACACAGCCCCACGCAGCCTGCTGCTCACCTTCGCCCTCTTGCCTACTGGAGGTAATGGATGAGCGAATGCAGGGAAGCCACCCCACACACCACCTGCCTCATGTAGCAAGCACAGCCAATTCAAGGGAGAGCTGCAGCAGAACAGAGGCAGGCTGCTGAGCCAGGAAGACTTCTCACGTCTCAGCTCAGGGCAGGTGGTTCAGCTGCATACCTGTGCTACGGAGCTGGAGAGCTCATTGCCTTTGGCTACTCCAGGATGCAGCTTCAAGCATTGAAGCCTGGCAGAACCGCAAGTTTTCAGCTCATGGATCTCCAAATCGAGGCCATGAAACCCTGTACAGCGTTCCCCTATGGAAGGCAACACAGCTTCCACATTCAAAGCAGGCTTTTACATCACAGTACGCAGAGCAACACTCAGAAATTGCCTAACAACTGAAAACATTTCAAAATAACTCTTTGGAAGATAAAGTAGGGAAAAGGGGACCAAAAGCAGAGAGGGGATTTACTGGGAGAGAACAGAGATGCCTGTGTCTGACCGGCCCCAGGTAACAGGCAGAGCTCACACCAAACCTCACTAAGGCCAGCAAATCACTGAGCTGTCCCAAGGTAGTCAGTAGTGGTTCAGGACTATGAATATATATGCTAATAGACACATAACATGTAGGTATATGCAGCATCCATCTATATGCACACACACAGAGTTCTGCAGGAACATAAACATACTGAAATATTAACATACTGAAATATTAACATGCCCTGAAACAGAGGGCCTTCGATGCAGCAAGGTAAGTGGTTTGCTCCCATGAAACCACATTCTCCTCTGGCCCCAGGTGTTTTATTCTCTCCAATGTTGCCAACACCTACGCTACACTACACACAAAAACAGTCCAAAAGATAAAAAGTCCTTTTCTCCCAATTTATTTCATCACTTCCTCTTCCCACTACCCACCCATATACTTTTGCTGCCCATGCTTAGTGAATAAAAAGGCAGCATCTCCTCTTGAACAGCAAAGAAACAACCAAAAAAAAAAACCCAAAAAACCCCACTCACAAAGCAGGGCCTTGCAGACAAACACAGGCTGTAAAATCTTTAAGGCACAGCCCCTGCCAGCAGCAGCCTTCATTCCAGACCCAGCGCAGGCAGCTACAAACCATGTTAAAGCAGCCAACATCTCCTTCCCAATGCACGCATCTCAACACACAGCCAAAAACAACTCCTGTATCTCCTTTCCTCTGCACCAAATGGAGGCAGAAATTGACTTACTATTGAGCAAAGGGAAAGAATCAGTTCTCCTTCTTTCATGATTACAAAACTGTAAATAACCAGGTGAAGTGTGAGCTAGCTACACAGCAAGGTTTGACAGATCCCTGACATGCAATTACTTGGTCAGAGGCAGGGCCCTCGGAGCAGTGTTTTCACATCACAAGACGCAGTACTCCAAGCCCGTCAATCTGGTGGGAGCTTGCACTCCGTGTCCGAGTCCAGCACAACACACCACCGGCCTCTGTATGCAGTTATTTCCCTGCCCTGGGGTTCACCACGCAAAGCAAGGAGGAAAGACCTGCACAAGTGAGATGCTTGTTCTGGTGAAATTGTGGCTATCAGCAGTAAGCGTGTCCTTGAGCTCTGTTACATGGCACAAGCAAATAAAAGGTTACTGTTCAACAGGAGACTGGTAGCTTCGTTTGGAGATGTCCCAGCTTCAAACACGGCTCTGCCATTATATCACCAGACAAACCCTTAACAGCTGGGCAGCACAGCTTTTCTCTAGCTGGTCACAGCACCTCCTCACCACGGCCACAACCTTACTTCCATCCAGCAGCCCTTCATCACAGCCACAGCCCTGACCCCATCCCAACAGGCTGTCCCAAGGACAGACAGAAGGGCAGTGTCTGGAGAGATACACCATCTTGTTGAACAAACCAGCTGAGCAAAAGGAAGCCAAGAAGGTTTAAGCACCTGCAAGGACTTCTTCAGGACTGAGCAGGGCACAGCAGAAATCAAGCCAAGCTCCAGGCACTGTCAGGCTGCACCCCACCACATTCATTTAGGGCTACATCCAAGCAGACAGCTTCACGCACCCCAACACCTGCCCACTGAACCTACTACGTCAGCTGACTCAGTAGAACCTCTCCTACTCTTGAAGCACCAAGACAAAATACTGCTACTAGTGGCACAGGCATCTGACATCCTGCAGCCGAACCCAGATCCTCACCTACTGCCACAGGAACCCCAAATCCGGGTGGGACCCCACCAGTCCCAGGGTCCCAGGGCACTACTGGCTCTGTAACCTACCCCAGACCATTCTGACTGTCTGGCAATTGCAAGGTTTACACCTTCCCTTCAAGTGCAGGACAGGCATCTTTAGCACAGATAGAACTTAAGGCCAAAGCCATTTAAGCAGAGCTGCTGACAGCCTCCAGCACCTCTAA